TGGGGATTATCATTGACCAGAAACTCAAATGAACTCACCACATAAATACAATGGCTACAAGAGCAGGTCAGAGACTAGAATCAATGCAGCGAGTAACTCACTTCCTGACTCCCCATATTGTGTCCACCATCTACAAGGCACAAGTCAGGAGTGTGATGGAATACTGCCCACTTGCCTGGATGAGTGCGGCTCCAACAACACTCAAGAAGCTTCACATCGTTGAGGAGAAAGCAACTCACTTGATTGGCACTACATCCACACTCTCCACCACCGACGCTCAGTAGCAGCAGTGTGTACCTTCTACAAGATGCACTGCAGAAATTCACCAAGACTCCTTAGATAGCACCTTCCAAACCTATGACCACGTCCATCCAGAAGGACAAGGGCAGCTGATATATGGGAACACCATCTCCTGCAAGTTCCCCTCCAAGCCACTCCCCATCCTGACTTGCAAATATATCCCCACTTCTTCAGTGTCACTGGATTAAAATTCTGGAATTACCTCCCTAAGGGCATTGTGGGGCTGGGACAGGGACTGCAGCAATTCAGGAGGGCAGCTCAGCATCACCTTCTCATGGGGCAACTATAGAATCACTACAGCGTGGAAGCAGATCAATTGGTCTATTGAGTCCAGACCAACCCCTCCAAAGAACATATCACCCAGACCCACCCCCTCCATTCTATCCCTGTAACTCTGCATTTCCCATGGCTAACCCACCTAGCCTGTACATCTCTGGACAACATAGGTAATTTCCCACGGCCAATACACCTAACCTGCACATCTTTGTACTGTGGGAAGAAACTGGAGCACCCAGAGAGAATATGCAAACTCCACACAGTCGGTCGCCCTAGGTTGGTATAGAACCTGGGTCCCTGGTGTTGTGAGGCAGCAGTGCTAACTACCATGCCTAGGGACAGGGAATAAATGCTGATCCAGCCAGCGATGTCCATAACCCATTAGTGAGTTTAAAAAAGTTGAATAAATACTTTGCATCAATGCTGTGGCCACAATTATTTACTTTATATATATATATGAATGACTTGGACAAGGAAAGTGAATGTACTATTGCCAACTTTGTGGATGGCACAAAAATAGGTAGGAAGGCATGTGGTGAGAATGGCGCCAAAGTGTCTGCAGAGGGTTACAGACCCAACTGAATAGGCAAAAACTTGGCAGATGGAATATAACGTGGCAAAATGCGAGGTTATGCAGCTTAACAGAAGAATAGAGGAGCGGAGTATTATTTAAATGGGAAACAATTGCAGAAAGCTGATGCTTAGAGGTATTTGGTACATAAATCACAAAAAGTCCACATTCACGTTACAGGGGTAATAAGGAAGGCCAATGAGCCTCTGTCACAAGGCAAAAGGGAATGACATACAAAAATAAGGAAGTCTTGCTAAAACTGTACAATGCTAGTTGGGCCACACCTAGAGCACTATGAATTATTTTGAAGGCAGTCCAAAGAAGGTTGACTAGTTTGATTCTGGTTATGGAGTTTTCTGTACTCATTGCAGTTTAGAAGAATGAGAGGCAACCTTATTGAAACATTTCAGAGGGTTCGACAGGATAGATGCTGAGAGGTTCTCTCCCCTTTGTGGGATGTCTAGGGCCAGAGGGCATACTCCCAGATTAAACAGTTACCCAGATAAAGCAGAGATGAAGAGGAATTTCTTCTTCCAGACATAGCGAATCTGTGGAATTCTTTACCTCAGAGGGCTGTCAAGGCTGGCTCATTAAATCTATTCAAGGCTGAGATAGACAGATTTTTAATCACTCAGGGGAATCATTGGTTATGGGGAAGTGGAATTGAGGTTTGTCAGATTAGTGTTAATTTCAATGGTGGCAGACTGAATGATCTACTCCAACTACATGTTATGGTCTTATGGACGAAGCCTGTCAATCCTGTCCCAACAAGTAAACCCACATATTCCTGATATCATCTTTGTGAAGGTCCTCTGTGTCTTCTCCAGTGCTTCTACGGTCACAGTCTAAGAATAAGGGGTAAGCCATTCAGGACTGAGATGAGGAAGAATTTCCTCACTCAGAGAGTTGTGAACCTGTGGAATCCTCTCCCACAGGAAGCCAGTTCGTTAAATATATTCAAGAGGGAGCTGGATGTGACCCATGTGATTTAAAGGATAAAGGGGTATGGAGAGAGCGCGGTAATGGGATACTGAAATTGCATGACTAGCCATGATTGTATTGAATGGTGGTGCAGGCTTGAAGGGCCTTTTCTATGTTTCTATAATATAGTGACCAGAACAGCAGACAGTACTGTAACTTTGTTCTAACCAACATTGGATAGACATTTAGAATTACATCCTGACTTTTGAAATCTATTCCCCTAGAAATAAAACCTAGTGTGTTGTTTTCTTTTTCTTTCCTATGGCCTTGCTGACCTGGAGTTAGTGGGTTATAGTGATTGTCATCTTTATATTGTGAGATCTCGATGTTAGATGATGTCCTATAGTCATAGTAGCTTTTTGACCTTGTCTCTAGGGAATGGTTATTTTCTGGCCATCTCCAGGGTCCTTCATTGTGGATTGTCCTTCACAGAAGCTTTCTCTCACTCGGAATTAGTCATAAGTCTTTCACTCCCTTTTCAGCTCACATCCCTTGGACTCACTGGCTCAGTGAGGACGTGAATCCATTCATCACTTATTTGCCATTCAGACTAGTTTTTGACCTTCCAAAGTGTTGACTCAGTAAGCAAACAGGAAGGTTTATGTTTAAGCTAAAGCTCCTTTGTGCATGTGCCTCTGTGTTTGAAAGAACGCCAACATGAGAAGAAGTGTTTAAAAGGCGTTCTCCCTTTTTGTGATAATCTTCTCATTAAGGGTGTTGAGGGGGGGAATAGGGTGGGTCAGCCACATTGATTGTTGAGAGCACTGGCTTCTCCTTTTTTAATAAGGCCTCACGGAATCTTTCAGAAGCACTTGACGAGGTTAAAGTTTGGCTCAGTCTCACATCCATCCAAAACAACACCACCCACAACACAGCACTCCCTCAGGGTGGGGATCAGGCTCAAATCTCTAACATGGGGTTTGAACTCACAATGTTCAGGCTTTGGAAAGTGCATGCTTCCCTCAGCCACCACACTGGGACTGGGAAATGTGAATGGCAATAGGGAAGACATGGACTGAACCATTCAACCCATTGAGGCCATGCTAGAAGGTGGGCAGGGACACTGTCCACAGCTTCTCCTCCTGCTTCGATCTACAATGAGGAGAAACTTCTCCTGACCTTTACATTCCTGCTGACCTTAACTTGCTGCAGTCTACTCAGAGCCAACTGTTTGACTGCCATTTGCACCTAATATAAGAAAAGGTCTTCAAATAGCCCCTGGTTTAATGCATCTGTTTCAGAAATGTGCCCTGACCAAAGTTGCTGTGTGAAATGAGCAAGCATGCCATTTGGAAGCATTCAGCAACTGTAGGGGAGGTGATGGCCTAGTGGTATTATCACTAAATTATTTAATCCCGAGATCCAAGCAATGTTCTGGGGACCTGGGTTAAAATCCCACCGCAGCAGACGGTAGAATTTGAATTCAATACAAAAAAAGTCTGCAATTAAGAATCTAACAAATGTTGTAAAAGCCCATCTGGTTCACTAACGCACTTTAGAAGACTTGTGACTCCAGCGCCACAGCAATGTGGTTGATTCTTAACTGCCCTCTGGGCAATTAGGGATGGGCAGTAAATGCGGCCTAGCCAGTGACATACACACCCCACAAATGAATATAATAAAGGACAGGTTTATGCCCCAATCAGTCAGATCTGGGCTCATGGCTGCATTTTGGAAGGGCACTCTGAGAGGAGAGGGGATAATTCCTGCAGTTGAATAGTCCACGTACAGTTGTGGAGCCCACAGCAACAACACTGCATCACTCAAAGGACATATCGCAGAACAGGTACAGGCATGGGATTCCTACACTGTCCCAACCCCCAGTCTCCCAGCAAGCTACTGCTGTGCATGTGCATGTACCTTCAAGGGAGCATGTCTCAAACTGCTGTCCATCTCTACCAACCACAAGACAGGATGTGATCTATAATCAGATGAGAGCCCATCCACGAGCAGTCTTACAGGTTAGGCATGTCTAACGACTTCCTGGTTACCAGGGTCTAGGCCCGAAACGTCAACCTCTCTGCTCCTACGATGCTGCTTGGCCTGCTGTGTTCATCCAGCCCTGCACCTTGTTGTCTCGGATTCTCCAGCATCTGCAGTTCCTACTATCTCCTAGTTACCATTATCTGCATATACTCTTACCTTCAGATAAACCCACAGCACTGTTTGCCTTGTGTTGTGTTTGATATGTTTATGTTAAACTGAAGAACACAATGGGTAATACTGAGTGCAGGGATAATATACTCTGAATAATTAACCTGTTAAATACAGAACAGGAGCTACTAGTCCTCAAGGATAGAGTTTGTAAGTCAGCAGGAGTATTTAAATAAGATAACAAGGTGTAGAGCCGGAGGAACACAGCAGGCCAGGCAGCATCAGAGGAGCAGGAAAGCTAACATTTCGGGTTGGGACCCTTCTTCAGAAAGGGTCTGAAGCAGTGTTTAAAAGGCATTAATTTCTGAAGAAGGGTCCCAACCCGAAACGTCAGCTTTCCTGCTCCTCTGATGCTGCTTGGCCTGTTGTGTTCCTCCAGCTCTACACCTTGTTATCTCAGACTTCAGCATTCTATCTCTGAGGAGTATTTAAATGATGTTCCACTCTTGGATCGGTTTAAAATCTACCCTACGTTCCACACTGACAACAAAGGCAGTATATAACAGCAAAAGTTCTCATGAGAGAAATTTCCTTCAGGGAAAAGCAGGATAAATCAAGGTAGAGATCTTTTCTAAAGATCTGCGATGGAACCAGAGTAATTATCAGATTTGAATCTTGGCATTTCTCTGCCTGTTGATTTCAAGCTCAGCCTTTTCTGGGCAAGTTGGAACAAACTCCATGATTTACAGAAAGACTCTTGTTTCAATTCTAGCCATACCTGATCATTCTCCAGTGTACTGTCCATGGTTTCAGGGAGACTGCTCAATGATCGCTCAGTCTGAGGCCTTCTGGAAGAGAGGATGGTCACTGTCGCTCACTGACAGAGGCAGTAGTGATTAGTTTTTGTCTGTCTGTGTGCGAGCGTGACTGAGAGACGGAGAGAAGCCAGCCGCAACCACACCTGAGCTGTGTTTCAACCTGTCTGACTGTGAGTACATTTCTGCAAGAGCTGTTCAGCAAACAGGACTGAAATGTGATAAGAGGCTGACAGAGCCACTGGTGGAAGGTAACTGGCTGAAGAATGAGAAGCAGCAAGAGCAATAAATATTACACAGTGAATTTAATTGAATTCAATTTCTCAATTATCATACCCAATGTCAAAATGGAACCTTAATCTCATTGAAGGTGAACACCTCCGGAAGTATGACTCGACCTTTCTGCATCTGATTTCTCCCAGCAATTATGCTGGTGTCCCAAGCTACTTAAAGCAATGGAAAATTCAACCCGTTGTCTTTGTGGTTTGTGTGAATGCCTACCTCATGTTTTGTTATTGCTGTGAGCACTGGGTGGCATGGTGGCTCAGTGGTTAGCACTGCTGCCTCACAGTGCCAGGGACCCGGGTTCAATTCCATCTCTTGGTACCTGTCTGTGTGGAGTTTGCACATTCAGTTCTGAGAGAGGGTAGCCAGACCTGAAACATTAACTCTGTTTTTTTCCTTCACGGATGCTGCCAGACCTGCTGAGTTTTTCCAGCAACTTTGTTTTTGTTGCACATTCTCCCCATGCCTTGGTGCTCCAGTTTCCTCCTGCAGTCCGAAGATGTGCAGGTTATTAGGTGGACTGGCCATGCTAAAAATTGCTGTGTGGTGTGTGGGTTAGCCTTGGTTTAAGTACCCCCATTTAGGGATGGGGTGGATCTGGGTGGGATGCTGCTCAGCGGGTCAGTGCAGATTTGATGGACTGAATGGCCTCATTTTGCACTGTAGAGATTCTATGAGGGTCTTCAATTTTGCCACTTCCAACAGTCCACGCCGTACTATAGAACATCTATTTACTTCCTTCCTTTTCTGTAGCGATTCCTGTTCCAAATCTTTGATCAGGTGAGTCTGTTTCCAGGAAGCTGGGAATTCTAATCTTCTCGATAGGGCACTGAGGACAGATTCAATGATAGCCTTTGAATTATAATTGGAACAATACTTGCATTTTGCGGATTTGGTGATGTCTACTGAGGCAGAATTGATGAGGGTTCTGTAGGTGAATGAACCCTTAGGGGGCAGAGACCATAATATGAAAGAATTCACCCTGCAGTTTGAGAAGGAGAAGCCGGAAACAGATGTAAGGGTATTATAATTGAGTCAAGGTCACTACAAAAACTTGAGGGGGAAGCTGGTCAGAGTTGATCAGAAGGCGGTCTAGCAGGGAAGACAGTGGAGCAGCAATGACAGGAGTTTCTAGGAGTAATTCGGAAGACACAGCAGAAATGTATCCCAAGGAAGAAGAAACAAACTAAGAGGAGGACGAGGTAAGCATGCTTGATAAGGGAAGTCCAACGTACAAACAGAAAACGAAAGCGTACAATGTGATGAAGATTAGTAGGAAGCCAAATGATTGGAAAGCCTTTAAAAACCAGCAGAGAATAACTAAAAATGCAATAATTGGGCAGAAGATGAAATATGAGGGAAAGCTAGCAAGTAATATAAAAGAAGATTACAAGAGCTTTTTTTAGACACTTAAAAGGTAAGAGAGAGGCAAGAGTGGACCTTGGACCACTCGAAAAAGAGGCTGAAAAATTAGAAATGAGAACAATGAAATGGCAGAGGAACTGAACATGTACTTTGTATCAGTTTTCACACTGGGAGACACCAGCACCATAACAAAACTTCAAGAGATTCAGGGGGCAGAGGTGAATGTAGTGACCGTCACTAAGGAGAAGGTGATGGGGAAGCTGAAAGGTCTGAAGGTGGATGAATCACTTGGACCAGATGGACTAGATCCCAGAGGAGATTGTAGAGACAATGGTGGTGACCTTTTAGGAATTATTGGAGTCAGGGAGGGTCCCAGAAGAGTGGGAAAGTTCCACTCAAGGTGGTGGCAGAGCAGGGCTCCCCACTAGAGCTTATCCACTCCTACTGCTTTGTTTTCTCTTTTCTTTCTTCTTTTCTCATTGTTTCACTTCCTTTCTTTTAGTCCTTTAGTCTTTAGAGCTCAGGAGTGGAGGTGGACACGTCAGCGGCTGGGGGACGGTCAGCCATGAAACAGCTGGTCGTTGTCGAAGGCATCGTGCTTTCGCCGAGGTCCCGGAGAGGTACCAGAGCAGGACTCTGCAGTGAGGCAGCCAGTGTGGCAACGGAGTGTGGCAGCGGCTGGGTCCCAGCGCCAGGCTGGATAGCGGCAGCGGTAGACACTCACGATTCAGCTGAAGCCTTGTGAGTGGCGGCGATGCCTGCTGTTGCCCGATGAAGGTCTGCAGGGGCCACCAGTTGGAGAAGACGGCTGTCAAACCCAGGCGGGTCTTGGCCTAGCGCAAGGGGAGAGCAAGTCCTCTTGGGAAAGGCCCAGCTTGGAACATCTGTAGGCCCATGGCTTAAGAAAGGAATGTAATGTTTGACCTTTTCTGTTTATTTTCTTACTTTTTCCACTTTTATATTAAGAAGGCTGTAGTGTTGAACTTTTTAACTAATGTCTTTATTTGTCTACTTCTCTAGCTAAGATTTTGTACCTAAGACGGTGCTATGTGCATACTTTTCACTGTACTCTTGTACCCCATACTTGAGTGAACATAAGACCTAAATCTTTAAAACAAAGGCTAAGGTAACACCCCTGTTTAAGAAAGGATGGAGGCAGGAGATACGAAGTTATAGGCCATTTAGCCTGATCTCGTTCGTTGGTAAGATTTTCAAGTCCATTATTAAGGAATAGATTGCAAAGTACTTGGAAGTATCTGGTTAAAAATAGGGCTGGGTCAACATGGCTTTTGTCAAGGGGAGGTCGTGCCTGACAATCTGTTAGGATTCTTCGAGGGGGTAACGAGCAAGTTAGGTAAAGGAGAGCCAGTGGTTGCAATCTATTTAGATTTCCAGAAGGCCTTTGACAAGGTGCCACACCGGACATTGCTAAAATAAGATAAAAGCCCATGTGTTAGGGCAAGGTACTGACATGGATAGAGGATTGGCTGACGGGCAGAAGACAGACAGTTGGGATAGAGGGGTCTTTTTCAGGATGGCACTCAGTGACCAGTGGAGATCCACATGGCTCAGTGTCGGCCATAACTACTCATGTTGTACATTAACAATCTGGATGAAGGAACTGAGGTCATTGTGGCTAAGATTGGGGGTGCCACAAAGATAGGTAGAGGGACAGGTAGTGTTAAGGAAGTGAGGAGGTTTCAGAATGACTTGGACAGGCTAGGAGAGTAGGCAAAGAAATGGCAGTTGGAATGCAGTGTGGGAATGTGTGAGGTTAAGCACTTTGGTAGGAAGAAAAGAGAATCATAGAATCCCTGCAGTGTGGAAGCGGGCCATTCAGCCCATCAAGTCCACACTGACCCTTCAGAGAGCATCCCACCCAATCCCTGTAACCCCACATTTCCCATGGCTTGTCCACCTAGCCTGTGGATCCCTGGATACTATGGACAATTTAGCTTGACCAATCCACCTAATCTGCACATCTTTGGACTGTGGGAGAGAACTGGAGCACCTGGAGGAAACCCACGCCGACACGGGGAGAATGTGCAAACTCCACACAGACAGTTGCCGAGGGTGGAATCGAACACAGTTTCCTGGCGCTGTGCCGCCTATAACAAAAGTAGGAACAACACACCTTGTGTGGATAATGAGGGAGCAGCAGTATATCCGCCCAGTATCAAACCGGGGACGTTCCGCATGCAGGGTGAATGTGATTGCCACTACACAAAAGCACTGAGATGTAGACTATTTTCTAAACAGGGAGAGGCTTCAGAAATCTGAAGCACTAAGGGACTTGGGAGCCCTGGTTCAGATTCTCTTCAGGTTAACAGGCAGGTTCAGTTGGCAGTTAGGAAGGCAAAAGCGATGTTAGATTCATTTCAGGAAGTCTAGAATACAAGAGCTGAGATGTACTGCTGAGCCATACAAGACTCTGGTCAAACATTCCGCATTTGGAATATTGTGAGCAGTTTTGGGCCCCAAATCAAAGGAATGATGTGTTGGCGTTGGAAGGGGTCCAGGCGAGGTTTACAAGCATGATCCTGGGGATGAAGGGCTTGTCACATGAGGAGTGGTTGAGGACTCTGGGTCTCTACTCGATGGAGTTTAGAAGGATGAGGTGCAATCTGAACACTGAGAGGCCTGGATAGAATGGATGTGGAGAAGATGTTTCCACGAGTAGGAGAGACGAGAAGCCAAGGGCACAGCCTCAGCGTGAAGGAACAATGCTTTAGAACTGAGATGAGGAGGAATTTCTTCAGCCAGAGGGTGGTGAATCTGTGGAAATCATTGCCACAAAAGGCTGTGGAGGCCAAGTCTTTGAGTGTATTTAAGATAAAGATATTATAGGTTCTTGATTGGCAAGGGGATCAAGGGTTACGGGGAGAAGGCAGGAGAATGGGGTTAAGAAGCATATCAGCAATGATCAAATGGTGGAGTAGTCTTGATGGGCTGAATGGCCTAATTCTGCTCCTATATCTTATATCTTTGCAGTACCGAGTGAATGCTGTACTTTGAAAGGTGACAATTTACAGATACGACGTTAAACAGAGAATCCGCCTGCCCTCTCAGATGCACATAAAAGATTCCCATGGCCCTTATTTCAAAGTAAGTTCTCCCCATTTCATGTCTGATAGTAGCCCCTCCACCAGCTGTTGTGGAGCTTGCTGTGCGCAATATGACTGTTATATTCCCTCCATTCCAACAGCAACGACACTTCAAAACACACTTCACTGACTTGAAAGTGCATTTTTATTTATTGCCAATCCCTAATTACCCAGTGGGATTGTGGGTCTGGAGTCACATGTAGGCCAGACCAAGTAAGGATGGCAGATTTCCTTCCCTAAAGGGGATTAGTGAACCAGATGGATTTTTATGACAATAATTTCGTAGCCATCATTAGACTCTTATTCCCAGATTATTATTGAATTTGAATTCCACCATTTGTTAAGGCAGGATTTGAATCTAGCTCCCCAGGACAT